TTGTGGCCATAAACATAAAGACAAGACAACAAAAACAGAGAATTTAATAAAATTTTATGACATGAACTAAAATTTCATAACATTGAGAAGCTTAAAAGTAGATAATAATCTTATTTACTTACTCCTTTCAATATTTCCATTTTTCCAGATGTAAGTAAATGTTAGCAAAAAAAAAAAAGAAAACTTCAAACAAATATTGGAAAAAGAAAATTCTTTAAATTCATATTTTCCACTTCATTGATATTATTTCGCATACCAACAACCAACCACTAAAACAATGAGGGAAAAAATATATTGGAAAAATTTAAATATAAAAGAACGTGCAACAGCTGCTGAGCTGGCGGCTGGGCAGGCATACAAGTTGGCTTGTTGACTGGTATATTTTGCAACTGACAACACACTTTCCTAAAATTACAAAAAACTATTTCCTCAAATTCATGTTTTTTTAATAGGCGAGCGTATATGAGTATCGAAAATCCTTGTGCGAACCAATCTAATAAAATAAAACATCATTCGTTTTTTTGTTAAAAAAGGAAACAAGTTACACCCAACAACGAAAATTTTTGCAGAATTTTTCACAAAATTTTCTTTCTGCAGGATTTCTTTGTATAGGAAAAACTTTCATAAAATTTTCTTTCTATAGGAAAAACTTTCATAAAATTTCCTTTCTATAGGAAATTTCCACAAAATTTCCTTTCTATAGGAAATTTTCACCAAATTTCCTTTCTATAGGAAATTTTCACCAAATTTCCTTTCTATAAGAAATTTTCACAAAATTTCCTTTCTATAAGAAATTTTCACAAAATTTCCTTTCTATAGGAAATTTTCAGAAAATTTCATTCCTATAGGAAATTTTCAGAAAATTTCCTTTCTATAGGAAATTTTCACAAAATTTCCTTTCTATATAGGAAATTTTCATAAAATTTCCTTTCTATAGGAAATTTTCACAAAATTCCCTTTCTATAGGAAATTTTCACAAAATTTCCTTTCTATAGGAAATTTTCACAAAATTAACTTTCTATAGGAAATTTTCACAAAATTAACTTTCTATAGGAAATTTTCACAAAATTAACTTTCTATAGGAAATTTTCACAAAATTAACTTTCTATAGGAAATTTTCAAAAATTTCTTTTTATAGGAAATTTTTACAAAATTTCCTTTTTATAGGAAATTTTCACAAAATTTCCTTTTTATAGGAAATTTTCACAAAATTTCCTTTTAATAGGAAATTTTCACAAAATTTCCTTTTTATAGGAAATTTTCACAAAATTTTTCACAAAATTTCCTTTTTATAGGAAATTTTCATAAAATTTCCTTTCTCTAGGAATTTTTCATTTTATAGGAAATTAGAATTTCTTTTTATAGGAAATTTTCACAAAATTTCCTTTTATAGGAAATTTTCACAAAATTTCCTTTTTATAGGAAATTTTCACAAAATTTCCTTTTTATAGGAAATTTTCACAAAATTTCCTTTTTATAGGAAATTTCACAAAATTTCCTTTTTATAGGAAATTTTCACAAAATTTCCTTTTTATAGGAAATTTTCACAAAATTTCCTTTTTATAGGAAATTTTCACAAAATTTCCTTTTTATAGGAAATTTTCACAAAATTTCCTTTTTATAGGAAATTTTCACAAAATTTCCTTTTTATAGGAAATTTTCACAAAATTTCCTTTTTATAGGAAATTTTCACAAAATTTCCTTTTTATAGGAAATTTTCACAAAATTTCCTTTTTATAGGAAATTTTCACAAAATTTCCTTTTTATAGGAAATTTTCACAAAATTTCCTTTTATAGGAAATTTTCACAAAATTTCCTTTTTATAGGAAATTTTCACAAAATTTCCTTTTTATAGGAAATTTTCACAAAATTTCTTTTTATAGGAAATTTTCACAAAATTTCCTTTTTATAGGAAATTTTCACAAAATTTCCTTTTTATAGGAAATTTTCACAAAATTTCCTTTTTATAGGAAATTTCACAAATTTCCTTTTTATAGGAAATTTTCACAAAATTTCCTTTTTATAGGAATTTTCACAAAATTTCTTTTTATAGGAAATTTTCACAAAATTTCCTTTTTATAGGAATTTCAATCCACAAATATCACACAAATTTCCTTTTTATAGGAAATTTTTCACAAAATTTCCTTTTTATAGGAAATTTTCACAAAATTTCCTTTCTATAGGAAATTTTCACAAAATTTCCTTTCTATAGGAAATTTTCACAAAATTTCCTTTCTATAGGAAATTTTCACAAAATTTCCTTTCTATAGGAAATTTTCACAAAATTCCTTTTCTATAGGAATTTTCACAAAATTTCCTTTCTATAGGAAATTTTCACAAAATTCCTTTCTATAGGAAATTTTCACAAAATTTCTATAGGAAATTTTCACAAAATTCCTTTCTATAGGAAATTTTCATAAAATTTCCTTTCTATAGGAAATTTTCATAAATTTCCTTTCTCTAGGAAATTTGCATAAAATTTCCTTTCTCTAGGAAATTTGCAAAAAATTTCCTTTCTCTAGGAAATTTTTCATAAATTTCCTTTCTCTAGGAAATTTAATAAATTTCCTTCTCTAGGAAATTTTCATAAAATTTCCTTTCTCTAGGAAATTTCATAAAATTTCCTTTCTCTAGGAAATTTTCATAAATTTCCTTTCTCTAGGAAATTTTCATAAAATTTCCTTTCTCTAGGAAATTTTCATAAATTTCCTTTCTCTAGGAAATTTCATAAAATTTCCTTTCTCTAGGAAATTTTCATAAAATTTCCTTCTCTAGGAAATTTCATAAAATTTTCCTTTCTCTAGGAAATTTTCATAAAATTTCCTTTCTCTAGGAAATTTTCATAAAATTTCCTTTCTCTAGGAAATTTTCATAAAATTTCCTTTCTCTAGGAAATTTTCATAAAATTCCTTTCTCTAGGAAATTTTCATAAATTTCCTTTCTCTAGGAAATTTTCATAAAATTTCCTTCTCTAGGAAATTTCATAAAATTTCCTTTCTCTAGGAAATTTTCATAAAATTTCCTTTCTCTAGGAAATTTTCATAAAATTTCCTTTCTCTAGGAAATTTTCATAAAATTTCCTTTCTCTAGGAAATTTTCATAAAATTTCCTTTCTCTAGGAAATTTTCATAAAATTTCCTTTCTCTAGGAAATTTTCATAAAATTCCTTCTCTAAGGAATTTTATAAAATTTCCTTTATCTAGGAAATTTTATAAATTTCCTTTCTCTAGGAAATTTTCATAAAATTTCCTTTCTCTAGGAAATTTTCATAAAATTTCCTTTCTCTAGGAAATTTTCATAAAATTTCCTTTCTCTAGGAAATTTTCATAAAATTTCCTTTCTCTAGGAAATTTTCATAAAATTTCCTTTCTCTAGGAAATTTTCATAAAATTTCCTTCTCTAGGAAATTTTCATAAAATTTCCTTTCTCTAGGAAATTTTCATAAAATTTCCTTTCTCTAGGAAATTTTCATAAAATTTCCTTTCTCTAGGAAATTTTCATAAAATTTCCTTTCTCTAGGAAATTTTCATAAAATTCCTTTCTCTAGGAAATTTTCATAAAATTTCCTTTCTCTAGGAAATTTTCATAAAATTTCCTTTCTCTAGGAAATTTTCATAAAATTTCCTTTCTCTAGGAAATTTTCATAAAATTTCCTTTCTCCAGGAAATTTTCAAAAAATTTCCTTTCTATAGGAAATTTTTACAAATTTTCCTTTCTATAGGAAATTTTCACAAAATTTCCTTTCTATAGTTAATTCTCACAAAATTTCCTTTCTATAGTAAATTTTCACAAAATTTCCTTTCTATAGGAAATTCTCACAAAATTTCCTTTCTATAGTAAATTCTCACAAAATCTCCTTTCTATAGGAAATTCTCACAAAATTTCCTTTCTATAGTAAATTCTCACAAAATCTCCTTTCTATAGGAAATTCTCACAAAATTTCCTTTCTATAGTAAATTCTCACAAAATCTCCTTTCTATAGGAAATTTTCATAAAATTTCCTTTCTATAGGAAATTTTCACAAATTTTCCTTTCTATAGGAAATTTTCACAAAATTTCCTTTCTGTAGGAAATTTTCACAAAATTTCCTTTCTATAGTTAATTCTCGAAAAATTTCCTTTCTATAGTAAATTTTCACAAAATTTCCTTTCTATAGGAAATTTTCACAAAATTTCCTTTCTATAGGAAATTTTCACAAAATTTCCTTTCTATAGGAAATTTTCACAAAATTTCCTTTCTATAGGAAATTTTCTCAATATTTGCTTTCTATAGGAAATTTTCTCAATATTTGCTTTCTATAGGAAATTTTCACAAAATTTCCTTTCTATTAGAAATTTTAACAAAATTTCCTTTTATAGTATGAAGAATTTTTTAGGTATTTTTTATGTTGTTGTCCAATTGTTGGATTTTGTTTTTCCACTTGAAAACAACTATTGAAACTATTGAAGCGTTAGATGTGCTCAAACACTAATGGAATCTGTGTTTGAATAATTGTGTGAAATTCTAATGCCTCAGACACAATATTTTGTTCAAGCCCTTAGTTTTATATGACCATAAAAAAACATATTTGTTTTTCATGTTTTTTTTAAAACTACGAATAGATGATGTCAGGAAATGTGGTAAAAAAATTCTATAAATGTTGTTGGTTGAAATATTTATTTTTAATAAATTCTATATATTTTAGCTAAAAGAATTATATTTAACATGACATTTGTTTTATTTAATATGAATTCATTCGAGTGGAACCGAGGTTGGTATTGGAAAAATGAAAATAAGAGTTTTGTTGTAGAAATAATAATAAAAGATTTTCGTCAGAGAGATTTTTCTAACAGAGCAAATAATACAAATTTATTAATTCTAGTTTAATATGTTAATAAAACACCCTCAAAAAATGATGTTCTTTTTTATTCCCATTTGACCCAGTTGCACCCAAGACACTTGTTTTATCTATAAAAATATTTTAAAAATTATTAAAAATTCTATTTAAATGATTGTGACAACTCAACATTTCATTTCTAGTTAAAAATTTCAAACAAAAATTTATTCTAAATTTTTAGTAAAATTAAAAAAAAATTTAAAATTCTTTTAAAAAACTTTAAACTTGATTTCCTCAATACTAATTCACAAAATAAAATGTCCAGAATTTTGTTATCTTTACCCTCTGCATGGTCAAAGTGTCTACCATTACTATATCAAAGGCAGCGTCATTTTGCCTCGGATATCAAGGGCAGTTGGAATGAGGCACCTGTATGTGAAGAACATAAAATGCCAAAAGCCAAACAAAAATGTCATCCCAAGCAAGTCAGCTGTGCAGGCAGCTTAAGTGCTTGCGGTAGATCAGATTGGCCTAAATGTGGAGAACCTGATATAAAACCTCCCACACACTTAACCTGCTGCTGTGATCGTAGTCTTAGCAAGCCGCCCTGTGAACCGCCTGCAAAAAAGAAACGTAAACGTCGTGATAAAGAAGAAGATAAACCATTTATATCCATGTGGGAAACATGTGGGGTAGAACAACAATGTCCCGCTTTAATACCGCGTCTCGATGAAAGCCACTACGAATCATCGGATAAAACTAAAAGAGTTTATACCCAAACGTGGAAATCTTGCCAACCAGTGGTTAGAAAACGAAAAGTTTGTTGCTTCAATGAAATGTGCATGTTACCTCCCTTGGTAAAGAGACCTAAATGTGAAAGCCCCCAAACCGCTAAAGAAAAGGATAGTGAGCAGCTAAAATTAGACTATAATGTTTTAAAAAAGTGTATGGAAAAACTTCCCGAAAATCCCAATACCAGACGCATAAATAAATGTCATAAAATTAATATGCCCTGTTGTCGTAAAGTGGCTGCAATTATTAAGTGTCATCGTAATCGTATGCGATCCAAGTGTTTAAAAGAATGCTGTCCTCATCCCAGCTTTTCAGAATGTCAACATCCCAAGTTAAAGAAAGGACCACCTGTGGAGTGTCGCTGTTCACATTTCGTGAATCAATGTGAAACGAATCGTTTTGCCATACGCAAGAAACAATTTAATATTCCACCTGCTTTGCCAGCCTGGCCACCCAAAGAGAGACCGAAGTAAACTGTAATAGGATCAAACCCTTCAGAATGTAGAGTTGCAGAGATAAACTAAATATTAAACATTATATTTTGTGAATAAAGTTCATTGAAATTTTAAGAAATGTTTAATAAAATTAAAAAATAAGTTAAAATACAAATTAAATTTCAATAAGAAACTTTGATTATTAGAAATTTTCAGGAATTTTTAATAACATTTCATCTATAGTCTAGACTATAGTCTAGTCTATAGTCTAGTCTATAGTCTAGTCTATAGTCTAGTCTATAGTCTAGTCTATAGTCTAGTCTATAGTCTAGTCTAGAGTCTAGTCAATAGTCTAGTCTATAGTCTAGTCTATAGTCTAGTCTATAGTCTAGTCTATAGTCTAGTCTATAGTCTAGTCTATAGTCTAGTCTATAGACTAGTCTATAGTCTAGTCTATAGACTAGTCTATAGTCTAGTCTATAGTCTAGTCTATAGTCTAGTCTATAGTCTAGTCTATAGTCTAGTCTATAGTCTAGTCTATAGTCTAGTCTATAGTCTAGTCTATAGTCTAGTCTATAGTCTAGTCTATAGTCTAGTCTATAGTCTAGTCTATAGTCTAGTCTATAGTCTAGTCTATAGTCTAGTCTATAGTCTAGTCTATAGTCTAGTCTATAGTCTAGTCTATAGTCTAGTCTATAGTCTAGTCTATAGTCTAGTCTATAGTCTAGTCTATAGTCTAGTCTATAGTCTAGTCTATAGTCTAGTCTATAGTCTAGTCTATAGTCTGGTCTATAGTCTAGTCTATAGTCTAGTCTATAGTCTAGTCTATAGTCTGGTCTATAGTCTAGTCTATAGTCTAGTCTATAGTCTAGTCTATAGTCTAGTCTATAGTCTAGTCTATAGCCTAGTCTATAGTCTAGTCTATAGTCTAGTCTATAGTCTAGTCTATAGTCTAGTCTATAGTCTAGTCTATAGTCTAGTCTATAGTCTAGTCTATAGTCTAGTCTATAGTCTAGTCTATAGTCTAGTCTATAGTCTAGTCTATAGTCTAGTCTATAGTCTAGTCTATAGTCTAGTCTATAGTCTAGTCTATAGTCTAGTCTATAGTCTAGTCTATAGTCTAGTCTATAGTCTAGTCTATAGTCTAGTCTATAGTCTAGTCTATAGTCTAGTATAGTCTAGTCTATAGTCTAGTCTATAGTCTAGTCTATAGTCTAGTCTATAGTCTAGTCTATAGTCTAGTCTATAGTCTAGTCTATAGTCTAGTCTATAGTCTAGTCTATAGTCTAGTCTATAGTCTAGTCTATAGTCTAGTCTATAGTCTAGTCTATAGTCTAGTCTATAGTCTAGTCTATAGTCTAGTCTATAGTCTAGTCTATAGTCTAGTCTATAGTCTAGTCTATAGTCTAGTCTATAGTCTAGTCTATAGTCTAGTCTATAGTCTAGTCTATAGTCTAGTCTATAGTCTAGTCTATAGTCTAGTCTATAGTCTAGTCTATAGTCTAGTCTATAGTCTAGTCTATAGTCTAGTCTATAGTCTAGTCTATAGTCTAGTCTATAGTCTAGTCTATAGTCTAGTCTATAGTCTAGTCTATAGTCTAGTCTATAGTCTAGTCTATAGTCTAGTCTATAGTCTAGTCTATAGTCTAGTCTATAGTCTAGTCTATAGTCTAGTCTATAGTCTAGTCTATAGTCTAGTCTATAGTCTAGTCTATAGTCTAGTCTATAGTCAAGTCTATAGTCTAGTCTATAGTCTAGTCTATAGTCTTGTCTATAGTCTAGTCTATAGTCTAGTCTATAGTCTAGTCTATAGTCTAGTCTATAGTCTAGTCTATAGTCTAGTCTATAGTCTAGTCTATAGTCTAGTCTATAGTCTAGTCTATATTCTAGTCTATAGTCTAATCTATAGTCTAGTCTATAGTCTAGTCTATAGTCTAATCTATAGTCTAGTCTATAGTCTAGTCTATAGACTAATCTATAGTCTAGTCTATAGTCTAATCTATAGTCTAATCTATATAGTCTATAGTCTAGTCTATAGTCTAGTCTATAGTCTAGTCTATAGTATACTAGTCTATAGTCTAGTCTATAGTCTAGTCTATAGTATACTAGTCTATAGTATACTAGTCTATAGTCTAGTCTATAGTCTAGCCTATAGTCTAGTCTATAGTCTAGTCTATAGTCTAGTCTATAGTCTAGTCTATAGTCTAGTCTATAGTCTAGTCTATAGTCTAGTCTATAGTCTAGTCTATAGTCTAGTCTATAGTCTAGTCTATAGTCTAGTCTATAGTCTAGTCTATAGTCTAGTCTATAGTCTAGTCTATAGTCTAGTCTATAGTCTAGTCTATAGTCTAGTCTATAGTCTAGTCTATAGTCTAGTCTATAGTCTAGTCTATAGTCTAGTCTATAGTCTAGTCTATAGTCTAGTCTATAGTCTAGTCTATAGTCTAGTCTATAGTCTAGTCTATAGTCTAGTCTATAGTCTAGTCTATAGTCTAGTCTATAGTCTAGTCTATAGTCTAGTCTATAGTCTAGTCTATAGTCTAGTCTATAGTCTAGTCTATAGTCTAGTCTATAGTCTAGTCTATAGTATAGTCTATAGTATAGTCTATAGTCTAGTCTATAGTCTAGTCTATAGTATAGTCTATAGTCTAGTCTATAGTCTAGTCTATAGTCTAGTCTATAGTCTAGTCTATAGTCTAGTCTGTAGTCTAGTCTATAGTCTAGTCTATAGTCTAGTCTGTAGTCTAGTCTATAGTCTAGTCTATAGTCTAGTCTATAGTCTAGTCTATAGTCTAGTCTATAGTCTAGTCTATAGTCTAGTCTATAGTCTAGTCTATAGTCTAGTCTATAGTCTAGTCTATAGTCTAGTCTATAGTCTAGTCTATAGTCTAGTCTATAGTCTAGTCTATAGTCTAGTCTATAGTCTAGTCTATAGTCTAGTCTATAGTCTAGTCTATAGTCTAGTCTAGTCTAGTCTATAGTCTAGTCTATAGTCTAGTCTATAGTCTAGTCTATAGTCTAGTCTATAGTCTATTCTATAGTCTAGTCTATAGTCTAGTCTATAGTCTATTCTATAGTCTAGTCTATAGTCTAGTCTATAGTCTAGTCTATAGTCTAGTCTATAGTCTAGTCTATAGTCTAGTCTATAGTCTAGTCTATAGTCTAGTCTATAGTCTAGTCTATAGTCTAGTCTATAGTCTAGTCTATAGTCTAGTCTATAGTCTAGTCTATAGTCTAGTCTATAGTCTAGTCTATAGTCTAGTCTATAGTCTAGTCTATAGTCTAGTCTATAGTCTAGTCTATAGTCTAGTCTATAGTCTAGTCTATAGTCTAGTCTATAGTCTAGTCTATAGTCTAGTCTATAGTCTAGTCTATAGTCTAGTCTATAGTCTAGTCTATAGTCTAGTCTATAGTCTAGTCTATAGTCTAGTCTATAGTCTAGTCTATAGTCTAGTCTATAGTCTAGTCTATAGTCTAGTCTATAGTCTAGTCTACAGTCTAGTCTATAGTCTAGTCTATAGTCTAGTCTATAGTCTAGTCTATAGTCTAGTCTATAGTCTAGTCTATAGTCTAGTCCATAGTCTAGTCTATAGTCTAGTCTATAGTCTAGTCTATAGTCTAGTCTATAGTCAAGTCTATAGTCTAGTCTATAGTCTAGTCTATAGTCTAGTCTATAGTCAAGTCTATAGTCTAGTCTATAGTCTAGTCTATAGTCTTGTCTATAGTCTAGTCTATAGCCTAGTCTATAGTCTAGTCTATAGTCTAGTCTATAGTCTAGTCTGTAGTCTAGTCTATAGTCTAGTCTATAGTCTAGTCTATATTCTAGTCTATAGTCTAATCTATAGTCTAGTCTATAGTCTAGTCTATAGTCTAATCTATAGTAGTCTATAGTCTAGTCTATAGACTAATCTATAGTCTAGTCTATAGTCTAATCTATAGTCTAATCTATAGTCTAGTCTATAGTCTAGTCTATAGTCTAGTCTATAGTCTACTCTATAGTCTAGTCTATAGTATACTAGTCTATAGTCTAGTCTATAGTCTAGTCTATAGTCTAGTCTATAGTCTAGTCTATAGTATACTAGTCTATAGTCTAGTCTATAGTCTAGTCTATTGTATACTAGTCTATAGTCTAGTCTATAGTCTAGTCTATAGTCTAGTCTATAGTCTAGTCTATAGTGTAGTCTATAGTCTAGTCTATAGTCTAGTCTATAGTCTAGTCTATAGTCTAGTCTATAGTCTAGTCTATAGTCTAGTCTATAGTCTAGTCTATAGTCTAGTCTATAGTCTAGTCTATAGTCTAGTCTATAGTCTAGTCTGTAGTCTAGTCTATAGTCTAGTCTATAGTCTAGTCTATAGTCTAGTCTATAGTCTAGTCTATAGTCTAGTCTATAGTCTAGTCTATAGTCTAGTCTATAGTCTAGTCTATAGTCTAGTCTATAGTCTAGTCTATAGTCTAGTCTATAGTCTAGTCTATAGTCTAGTCTATAGTCTAGTCTATAGTCTAGTCTATAGTCTAGTCTATAGTCTAGTCTATAGTCTAGTCTATAGTCTAGTCTATAGTCTAGTCTATAGTCTAGTCTATAGTCTAGTCTATAGTCTAGTCTATAGTCTAGTCTATAGTCTAGTCTATAGTCTAGTCTATAGTCTAGTCTATAGTCTAGTCTATAGTCTAGTCTATAGTCTAGTCTATAGTCTAGTCTATAGTCTAGTCTATAGTCTAGTCTATAGTCTAGTCTATAGTCTAGTCTATAGTCTAGTCTATAGTCTAGTCTATAGTCTAGTCTATAGTCTAGTCTATAGTCTAGTCTATAGTCTAGTCTATAGTCTAGTCTATAGTCTAGTCTATAGTCTAGTCTATAGTCTAGTCTATAGTCTAGTCTAGTCTAGTCTATAGTCTAGTCTATAGTCTAGTCTATAGTCTAGTCTATAGTCTAGTCTATAGTCTAGTCTATAGTCTAGTCTAAGTCTAGTCTATAGTCTAGTCTATAGTCTAGTCTATAGTCTAGTCTATAGTCTAGTCTATAGTTCTAGTCTATAGTCTAGTCTATCGTCTAGTCTATCGTCTAGTCTATAGTCTGTCTATAGTCTAGTCTATAGTCTAGTCTATAGTCTAGTCTATAGTCAGTCTATAGTCTAGGTCTATAGTCTAGTCTATAGTCTAGTCTCTAGTCTAGTCTAGGTCTAGTCTATAGTCTAGTCTATAGTCTAGTCTATAGTCTAGTCTATAGTCTAGTCTATAGTCTAGTCTATAGTCTAGTCTATAGTCTAGTCTATAGTCTAGTCTATAGGTCTATAGTCTGTCTATAGTCTAGTCTATAGTCTAGTCTATAGTCTAGTCTATAGTCTAGTCTATAGTCTAGTCTATAGTCTAGTCTATAGTTAGTCTATAGTCTAGTCTATAGTATAGTCTATAGTCTAGTCTTATAGTCTAGTCTATAGTTAGTCTATAGTCTAGTCATAGTTGTATATAGTCTAGTCTATAGTCTAGTCTATAGTTCTAGTTCTATAGTCTAGTCTATAGTCTAGTCTATAGTCTAGTCTACTAGTCTAGTCTATAGTCTAGTCTATAGTCTAGTCTATAGTCTAGTCTATAGTCTAGTCTATAGTCTAGTCTATAGTCTAGTCTATAGTCTAGTCTATAGTCTAGTCTATAGTCTAGTCTATAGTATAGTCTATAGTCTAGTCTATAGTCTAGTCTATAGTCTAGTCTATAGTCTAGTCTATAGTCTAGTCTATAGTCTAGTCTATAGTCTAGTCTATAGTCTAGTCTATAGTCTAGTCTATAGTCTAGTCTATAGTCTAGTCTATAGTCTAGTCTATAGTCTAGTCTATAGTCTAGTCTATAGTCTAGTCTATAGTCTAGTCTATAGTCTAGTCTATAGTCTAGTCTATAGTCTAGTCTATAGTCTAGTCTATAGTCTAGTCTATAGTCTAGTCTATAGTCTAGTCTATAGTCTAGTCTATAGTCTAGTCTATAGTCTAGTCTATAGTCTAGTCTATAGTCTAGTCTATAGTCTAGTCTATAGTCTAGTCTATAGTCTAGTCTATAGTCTAGTCTATAGTCTAGTCTATAGTCTAGTCTATAGTCTAGTCTATAGTCTAGTCATAGTCTAGTCATAGTCTATTAGTAATATAGTCATAGTCTAGTAGTAGTATAGTCATAGTCTAGTCAGAGGATTAAATTCGGCAGTGCCTAATCTCAACATCAGGGTGATATGTAAAATATGGACAATTGTGGACCGAGCTCTTTTGAACTAACAAAATATTAATTTTTAAAAATAAAAAATTTTTATTCAATTTTGCAACCGTGAGTGTAAGAGTAATTTTCTAAACGGGGACATTACTATATGAGCAAAATCAAAAATTTTTAAGAATTAGATAACATTTTTTTTCGAAAATTTTTTTCCTCTGACAAGAACCATATTTAGTGGTTGAATTGGATAATAATTATATATGATAAATATGAAAACGTTAATTATTTTCAATGATGAGCGCAAAATTTTTTTTTTACAAGGTATTAAAAACATAACAAAAGTATATATTTAAAAACTAATGACGTCACTACAGTACCCTTTGGTAAACATTTATAAAGACTATTAGCGCATGTTGAAATAGTTATCGCCAAATTCATATTTCAGAAAAAAACACTGATAATTAAAAAAAAATGATTTTAATGGTTTTTGCAATTTCTTTTCAAACTCAAAATTTTGCAATAATAAAAAAAATTCGAAAAGTTGCCCCAAAATTAGAGATGATTTTCAATGCATTGCACTATTGAACTAAGTTAATATCTCAGTCAGTTTGAAAAATATAGGCATTTGAAGTAGCTTCTTCGTATATTTTTATATCGAATGAAAGTACAATACATATTAATATTTAATATATCCTACACCACTTTAGTGGGGAGGGTATATTGGGTTTGTGCTGATGTTTGTAACGCACAATAATATTGGTCCTATACCCACCTTAAAGTATACCAATCGGCTCAGAATCATTTTCTGAGTCGATTTAGCTATGTCCATCCGTCTGTCCGTCCGTCCGTCCGTCCATGTAAAACTTGGAATCAAACTACAGGTCGCAATTTTGAAGATAATTCAATGAAATTTGGTACATGATCTTCTATTGTTCCAGGGACGAAGCCTATTGAAAATGGTTAAGTCCATTATGGTCCATTACTTAACCTAGCCCCCATACAACTGAACCCCCCAATAGTGCTAGTAATCCTTTTAATTAAACTACAGGTCGCAATTTTGAAGATAATTCAATGAAATTTGGTACATGATCTGCTATTGTTCCAGGGAGGAAGATAGTTAACATCGGTCCATTATATCACCTAGCCCATGTACAACTGAACCCCTCGAATAGCGCTTTTAAAACTTGTAATCAAACTACAGGTCGCAATTTTGGAGATAATTCAATGAAATTTGGCACATGATCTTTTATGGTACCGTAGATGAAGCCTATTGAAAATGGTTTACATCGGTCCATTATTTCACCTAACCCCCATACAACTAAACCCCTCGAATAGGACTTTTAAAACTTGTAATCAAACTACAGGTCGCAATTTTGGAGATAATTCAATGAAATTTGGCACATGGTCTTTTATGGTACCGTAGATGAAGCCTGTTGAAAATGGTTTACATCGATCCATTATTTCACCTAGCCCCCATACAAATGAACCCCTCGAATAGGGCTTTTAAAACTTGTAATTAAACTACTGGTCGCAATTTTGGAGATAATTCAATGAAATTTGGCACATGATATTTTATGGTACCGTAGATGAAGCCTTCACCTAGCCCTCATACAACTGAACCCGCCGAATAGGGCTTTTAAGTTCATAATTATGTTTAATATACTCATATCTCGACAAAAAGCTGCAATAACCAAGTTGTATACAAGACTTGATGACCCCAACGAATTCCATAATAATAGGTTCTTATATGACCCTAGTCCCTATGAAAAGCCCGCATCAAAATTTCACTTAAATGTCCACAATTTTATTCAACAATAAACGGCTTAAGTATGTATATCTAAGGTAAGGTACAATTCAACTTAAATGTGACCAAGTGACCAATATTTCGATATGTTTCAAACGGAATGACAAAATCAATATAAACCTTAATGAACTTGTTAGTGAAATAAAACAATCTTCGTAACAAAACAAACTAATAAAAACGGCTTTAAACAACCAAAACACTTTTAACCATTAAATATGTCTATAGATTCCAGAAAAAACATCTTTTAACATTTAAGAACAAATTAAGCCATTACTAAACCAATTGTTTAGAAATGTTAATAATAATTGGAAAAAATGGTATAAAAGTTGAGAATGTTTTTCTTCAAATATCACAATTAAATTAAGCTTAGTTAATATGAATTATTTCTGGCTGATTTGGCTGTCTGCTGTGGCTGGTAAGTTAAAATCCCATAGAAAAGTTAAAACTATTTAAAACTTATTTTAAATTGCAGTTACCATTACGCGGTGCCTAAAGACGAACGCGTTCATGGTCAAAATGGTTGGTATATACCTGTCTCAGAAGACAGTTTAGAATGGATTGATATGGAAAATGCTGAAACATATCTCGAAAATTTAAGAATGGAATTTATGAGTATGAATGAGTCTCAGAGTATGGAACGTTATGGTATTTTAATTCCAGCAAACGAGGTTTTCTTTCACCTATACACAAATAAGAATCAAAATGATTCTCAGTTAATTACAATCGATAAGAAATCCATTGATGACTCTAACTTCAATGCCGCACATCCTACACGTATATCCGTTCACGGCTTTCAATCTGGCGTTGATGCATTTATTAACTATGGTATCCGTGATGCTTGGTTATCCAAAGGTGATTACAATTACATTTTCGTAGAGTGGAAGGCTGCCACTTCTTTTAACTACCCGATAGTTGTTACATGTCTAGGGAAGGTTGCTGATGAGATTGGCAAATTAATTGATTTTTTGGTCCAGAATAACTATATCAAATTGGAAGAATTGGTAATGAATGGTCACAGTTTGGGAGCTCATGTTGTTGGCTTTACAGCCAGGAAATTTCAAAACATTAAAACCGTTATAGGTTTGGATCCTGCTAATCCTTTAATCCTAAATTACTGTAGATTTCGTCTGTGCGAAACTGATGCCAAATACGTTGAAAGTATTCATACCAATGTCGGTAATTTAGGTTATCTGACACCCATTGGCAAGGGTTCTTTCTATCCCAATGGTGGTCATTCTCAACCAGCTTGTCCTTGGTACCATTCTTTTTTAGGTATCTGTGATCACAGCATGTCTATTAAGTATTACGCCGAAGCAATCCAATTAAATGATTTCTCGAGCATCAAGTGCAAAACATTTGATCAAGCTGTTGCCAGGAAATGCGGTTCAGAGTACAGTGACGTTCGCATGGGTGGCATGGACAATACTGATAATATTTCGGGGGTTTACTATGTCCCTGTCAATGATAAACCCCCCTATGGTATGCCACAGGGACCGTAGTCATAGTCTTGTGCATGAACTAAAATGGAATCTTGGCCACAAAAATGGAATCATAAAAACCTCAAAAAGGACCTTTTTATCTTTTGATCCAGCTTGCCAAATATTGACCCCAGGACAAACATTTTCAGAAACTATGTCTTATAATCATTTAAACTTTAATTTAATTTACAAACGGGGCCACCTTAATGTACATACATACATATGTTCAAAAATAATGAAAAATATCAAAAATAAAAAAATTGATAGATAGGGTCTTATCTCAGTCTCTTATCTTTAAGTATTAAAAATAAATGATTTGTAAAAAGCATTTAAAAGTTTATGGATTTAGTCTTTCTTATTTTTTATACCCTCCACCACCATCAGTGGTGATAGAGGGTATATATAACTCTGTCATTCCGTGTGTAACACCAAGAAATATTCATCTGAGACCCAACAAAGTATATAAAGTCTGGGTCCTTATCAAATTCTGAGTCGATTTAGATATGTCCGTCTGTCTGTGTAAAACACGCTAACGATAAAACGAAGCAATATAATTTAACAAAATTCAGCCAAAATGTTCTTCATTTTCCTAAATTGTTTGGTATTTAAAATGAGCAAAATCGGTTGACACCGGAAAAAGTTATGAATCAAAATTTAAAACAACCTCGAAAAAATAAGCATTTTTTACACATTCTGATGTAATTTTATCGAAAACTATGCAAAATAATTTCATGAAAAACATTACACATTCGTTTGTACACAAGAACTTGATTCCTGCTGAAAATTGCCAGAATCGTTCCACAATTTCATACACCTCCCATACAAAAGTACATATTCCCGGAAAATGGGTTTTTTGTTAATAACTTCCGTCAGAATGTTGATATCTACACAAAATTTTACTAATTAAAATGTTATGTCAATATCATTCATTTAGAGAACAAATTGTCTGGATCGGTCTATAATTGAACATAGCTCCCATACAAGGTCCCCTCCCGAAAATCACTTAAACGCACATAACTCATTACTAAATTAAGATATCCATGTACAATTGGGTACAAGTATTGCTCTCACATACAGAAATATTACTATGAAATTTTTTTTTCCGATGGGTCCATAATTGGTCATAGCTCCCATACAAGGTTCCCCCATCACTTAAACGCGCATAACTCATTTCTAAATTAAGATATCCATATAAAATGTGGTGCAAGTATTATTATATGCACAGAAATATTACTGTAACATTTTTTTTTCCGATCGGTCTATAAGTGGTCATAGCTCCCATACAAGGTCCCCTCCCGAAAATCACTTAAAACCACATAACTCATTAGTAAATGAATTTAGTACAAGTATTGCTCTTATATACAGAAATATTATTATGAAAGTTTTTTTTTGGATCGGTCCAATTGTTCATAGCTCCCTTACAAGGTCCTTTTACGAAATTCTCTTAAACGCACATTACTCATTACCAAATAAAACTATTTATACAAAATTTGGCACAAATATTAGTGTTATATACAAAAATTCTATTTCAAGATTTTTTCACGATCAGTTCATAACATGGGTGCGGACGGTCCCATACAAGTTTGCCTTCAGAAAATCACTTAAACACACATTACTTATTACTAATTCACGATATAGATACAAAATTTTATTGAAATATAGTTTTTATGTAAAGAAATTTAGCTTAAAGAATTTTTTACGATCGGTCTATAATTGGTCATATCTCCTATACTAGGTCCTGCCCCTAAAAGCACTTTAACGGTATTTAACTATTCAAGACATGAGAAAACTTATTTCTACAAATATTTGATCAAATAGAAAAGTATTAATATAAAAGTAGCTGGTGGAGGATATTTAACTTGTTAACATTTAGTCCTTTTTGGGTGTAAAAGGGAGAAAACTGTATTTTAGGTACTTTTTTTCAGCACATTAAGAAAACTTTTTCGATTTATTGACGTAAACCTATTAAATTACGTACTAACTCTGTAATATTTATTGAAATAAAATATTAGCTATTTCATATGTGAAAAAAGTACCAAAAGGGGAAAAACGGGAAATTTAATTTATTCAAATTGGACCAATTTTTATAAAATTTGATAAATAGTTATTTTACTCACACTAAATATGCTATTAGTATATTACTTTGGAATTCGGATACTAAGCCCTATATAGGACCAAATTCAGATAAATTATTAGGTACTTTTTTTAAAGCATAATTTTTCTGGAACAAATGGATGTAGATTTGAATCGTTTGAGTTTTATCTGTGTTATATACATTTAAACATGGAATATTTAGTAAACTTAATTCTCGAAAAAGTCTATTCCTAAGCGAAAAGGGGGAAATGGTAATTTTTTTGTTAGTACTTTCCACAAAGTTAGAACTTATGCCACTTTTGGTACTTAGTCTTTCTTCAAATGATACTCTTTGTATGTTCTTTATTAGAATAGAACTTTTTAGCACTTTTTGTCTCTTAAATGGTACTTTTTGAATTTTCTCAAGATCGAAAAATTACCAAAAAGGTCCTTTTATAAATTCTCACTTAATCCCGGCTATACATGCTTAATTTCATATTTCTAGGTTCCATTTTATTGAAAATTCAAAAAGTACCTTTTGTAAAACGAAAAAGTACCAAAAAGTCCATTCCATTCTCACTTAATCCGGGCTCTACATACTTAATTTCATGTTTCTAGGTTCAATATTATAGAAAATTCAAAAAGTACCTTTTATAGAACGAAGAGTACAAAAAAGTCCTTTTTATGTGTTTTCACTCAATCCGGGCTCTATATGCTTAATTTAATGTCTCTAGGTTCAATATTATAGAAAATTCAAAAAGTACCTTTTAAAGAACGAAAAAGTCCCTTTTATATGTTATCACTTAATCCGGGGTCTACATACACTGCTTCAGTCGTAATTGCTTTACTTTTTTTTTATAACCTACACCACTATAGTGGGAAGGGTATTATGCGTTTGTGCTGATGTTTGTAACGCATTGAAATATTAGTACTATACCCACCTTTAAGTATACCGATCGACTTTCTGAGTAGATTTAACGATGTCCGTCCGTCCGACCGCCCGTGTGTCCATGTAAACGTTGTTATCCAAGTACAGGTCGAAATTTTCAAGATAATTTGATGAAGTTTCGCAAACACGTTTCTTTTGATCCAAGGACGAAGCCTATTGAAAATGGTTAAAATTGGTCCATTATTACACCTATCCCCCATACAACTGAACCCCCGAAAAGGGCCTTTGAGCTCATAATTCTGTATAATATAAATGTATCTCGATAAAAGTTAGCACAACTAAGTTTTATACAAGCCTTGATGACTTTGCCGAATTTAGAACTGATCGGACTTCATTTGACCCTATCCCCCATACAAAGCCCCCCTTCGGAAAATGACTTGAATATCCGCAATTCACTTATTAACACTGTTATTGCAATGAAATTTATCACAAATAAATATTATATAAATATAAATCTATCTAGCCCATTTTATCGAGATCGGTTCACATTTGCTCCTATCCCCCATATAAAGGCTCTTTCAGAAAATTAATTTTTCGTCAATAAATGTCTCAAATAAATCGGAATTAAGGTAATATTCCAGATAAATGCTTTATTATGCAAAATAGATCACATTTAATATTCATAACTGGTGTAGGGTATCTTATGGTCGGCCATGCCCGACTATACTTTCTTACTTGTTTTTGTGTGTGGTTGTAGTTTGTTTATTATTCTGTCTCCGATTGCACGAAAAATCTAAATTTTTGATGAAATTTTCGGAGGTTACTCGGATTTTTGCTCATATCTCCGTTATTTATGAACCGATTTTGCTGATTTTATATAGGAAACTACCCGAAAGCATGTTTGATAGAATTGTTGAAGATTTGGATCCTGAAGATATCTGGGGTCTTCAGAAAATTGATTTCAACAAACAGACAGACAGACAGACGGACATAGCTTAATCGATTCTGTCTATAAGGACTCGGAATATATATACTTTATAGGCTCCTAAAATTATATTATAGAAATTACAAACGGAATGACAAACTTATATAAACTCTTCTCACGAAGGTGAAGGGTATAAAAAGATGAATATTTCGGGTGTTACAAACGGAATAACAAAATCAGTATAAACACTAACAAACTTGTTAGTGAAACGAAATGAATAATTTATTAAAACTGGTGCAGTTGGTTTGCTTATCTGAAACAATTTCCATCCTATCTTCGTAACAAAACTAACTAATAAAAAACGGCTTTAAATAGCCAAAACACTTTTAGCCATTAAATATGTGTATAAATTCCAGAAAAAAACATATTTTCATATTTAAGAACAAATTAAGTTATTACTTATACAATTGTTTAGAAATGATAATAATTATTGGAAAAAAAAAATGGTATAAAAGTTGGAAATTTTTTCTAAAATAACTCAATTAAGTTTAGTTAACATGAAGTATTTATTGCTGATTTTGCTGTGTGCTGTGGATGGTAAGTTAAAATCCTATAGAATAGTTAAAACTATTTAAAACTAATTTTAAATTGCAGTTACCATTAACGCGGTGCCAAACGACAAACGCGCTCATGGTCAAAATGGTTGGTATATACCTGTCACAGAAGAAAGTTTTGAATGGGTTGATAAGGATAATGTTGACACCTATCTTGAAAATGTAAGAAAGAAATATATGGAAATGAATAACTCTGATAGTTTGGATCGTAGAAATATTTTTTTTCCACAAAACGACGTTTTCTTTCACCTATACACAAATAAAAATCAAGTTCATTCTCAGTTAATTACAATCGATAAACGATCCATTGATTCTTCTTACTTCAATCCCGCACATCCTACACGTATATCCATCCACGGCTTTAACTCTGGCCCTGATGGATTTATTAACTATGGTGTCCGTGATGCTTGGTTATCCAAAGGTGATTACAATTACATTTTCGTAGAGTGGAATGCTGCCCGTTATTCTAACTACGCTATGGTTGTTACATGTCTGAAGCATGTTGCTTTTGATGTTGGAAATTTAATTGATTTCTTGGCCCAGAATAACTATATCAAATTGGAGGAATTGGTAATGGTAGGCCATAGTTTGGGCGCTCATATTGTTGGCTTTTCAGCCAGGAGTTTTCATAATATTAAAACCATTATAGGTTTGGATCCTGCTAGTCCTTTAATCAAAGATAACTGTGAGGATCGTCTGTGCCACAAAGATGCCAAATACGTTGAAAGTATTCATACCAATGGCGGTAATTTCGGTTATCTGACACCCATTGGTAGGGGTTCTTTCTATCCCAATGGTGGTCAATCTCAACCAGCTTGTCCTTGGTACCAAAAGTTTATAGGTATCTGTGATCACAGCATGGCTATTAAGTATTACGCCGAAGCCATCCAATTAAATGATTTCCCTAGCATCAAGTGCAAATCATATGAAGATGCTATTCACAAGAGATGTGGTAAACAGTTAACTGCCGTTCGCATGGGTGGCATGGGTGATACTGATAGTATTTCGGGGGTTTACTATGTCCCTGTCAGTGCTAAAATCCCCTATGGGGTACCACCAGGGACCGTAGTCAACGTACAAATTCATGAAACTGAACTTAAATAATTCAGCAGCGGCATAGATGAACATTTACATATGTTTAAAAATAATGAAAAATATCAAAAATAAATGATTGATAGATTGGGCCTTATCTCATTCTCTTATCTTAAAATATTAATAACGGGCTATACCCAGTGTGCTTCGCTACCCCGATCGTAATGGAATAAAATAAATATTATTATTGTAAATGTAAAAATATCCCTTTGTAAAAATATCCCTTTTAGAGATTTCATGTTTCTAGGATCAATATTATAAAAAAACACAAAAAGTACCTTTTGAAGAACGAAAAGCAACCGAAAAGTGCCCTTTTATATGTTTTCACTTACTACTTACGGGCTCTACGTGCATAATATCATATTTATAGGTTAAGTACCTTTTGAAGAACGAAAAAGTAACAATAAGTCCTCTTTTATAGCTTCTTGCATAATCCAGGCTCTACATACTTAATTACATGTTTCTAGGTTCAATATTATAGAAATTTCAAAATAATGATTTATATATACAAAATACACATTTATATAATTTTGATTATCAATGCGGGTTTAAGTAATTTTCGGAAATTTTCCTTATATGGGAGTTGAGATCAATTATGGAGCGATCAGGAAAAAAATTCGTATAGTGATTTATATGCACACAAAACATATTCAAGTAGAATTTTACTCCCATAGATTTATTAATTAATTAAATATGTGCGTTTTTACGAAGTCTACTTTATATAGGAGCTATGACGAATAACGGGCCTATCCGGAAAAAATGTCGTAGAGTGTTTCATATGTACACAAAACTTATTTGTGTCGAATTTTATCAAGTTAGCTTTATTTGACAATGAAATATGTGCGTTTAATTGATTTTCGGAAGTGGCTCTTATATGGGAGCTAAGACTAATAATGGACCGATCCGAAAAAAAAAAATTTTGTAAAATGATTTACATGTACACAACCATATTCAACTCGAATTTACAACAATAGCTTTATTTATCAATGAAATATGTGCGTTTATGTGATAAATACTTTTTATTAATGCAGT